GTCAGTTTGTTAAATAAGACAGGACCTGTGCCCAGATCCCATTCCTTTGGCAATGTTCACATCAAACACGGAGCCACAACAACATTTAACCAGTCCCTGGGATATAGTTTATGCTTCACAGAATGTGGCGGAATGAATGAACCATGGGTTCAGGTTGCTGGAAAATTACGGTAAGTAATCTCTAGTTTAGTTTGTACTCAGCACCCTCCCAGTCAAGCCCTAAATTTAGGACAGAGCAAGCCCCCACGCCACCCACATCAGCCACAAGAAATCCGCAAACATCAAAAAACAGTTGACTGGCAAAATGGGCAAAAAACAGAAGATAGATGTATAAACAAACAACCAGTAAGAATGGACATCTATGTCATATAAACATAGAAAATTATCTACGTATACAAAAAGGCACTTAACCTTCCAGAGCCACTGGAAACAATACGGTGGGGAATTAGCAGGGAGAGTTCCTACCGTTATTCCAGCCACAGCTCTTTTACGTACATAACAGCAGCAGAAAAGAGATGGAAAGTAGGACACCAGGTAATCTTTCCTAAATGTTGTACCATGAAAGAAACCATTTGGTGAATGGGGATGAGGTATCCAACACAGGTAACAATGGGTAAGGGAGCCAGGGAACGCAGCCCCTGAGAGACTCTCTGACAGTTAGAGTGAGGATAAAAATACTTTTAAAAAGCTGTTGAAAAAAAGTTGGAAATACAAATCATGAAATAGGTTTTCCCCCTAGAGGGAAAAACGGTTAACTTATAGCATCATCTGCCCTTTTCTAATAAAACTTCATATAAGAAAAACTTACTCAGGCTTATAGTAGACATAGAAGTAAATGGAACAAGATGTTTATATTTCAATGGGTAATATTAATGGATATCCTACGTATAATTTTGTAGGTATTATTCTACTATTACATATCTTATACTGATTTAAAAATAAGTTTGACACACCTGCTAAAACTGCTGAAACCCTGTTTTGGACATGGATCTCTGTCCCAATTATTTGAAAGCTCAAGATCAGGGCTGTTCCAACTTAAAAAAACAGAAAAACCGCAATAGCAGGATTTGAAGCACATTGAAATGATCATCTAGAGACAGATGGTGGCAAACATCCAGACATCATTCATAGTTAGTTGAGTTGAAATAGCATGCATGCTACCATTTGCCAGGAGTGACTTTGATTTAAGGAGTTCATGCGCAAGCGTTATTGAGAGGATTCCGCCATGTACTGTAGTAATGAATGCATGACAAATGTTAGGAAAAACTAATAAAACTGATAGTTTTTGTTTGAAAGTCTACTCTAGTAGTCATACCAAAATAAAAATATCACTAGTGGTTTGGGTGGAAGGAAAACAAAAATGTATGACACTGACACAGGAGAAGGAAACAGGAAACTCAACATACACAGTTGTGTGAAAAAGAAAGTACGCCCTTTTTGAGTTCTATGGTTTTACATATCAGGATATAATAAAAATCATCTGGTCCTTAGCAGTTC